AAAATGTGTTTTCAGTAAGAAGTAAGTGTTGCTACTAGAACCAGGGAAATGAGAGCATCACAATGATATCAAAGTTTTGGAGAATTGATGAAGGAATCTACCTATTGAAGTTGAGTTGCAGAGCTCTGAAACTGGACTTCTATGGAGCAATATAGGGCACGATTCTTGAATGTAATTATATGGTTAGCTTCAGGGAAGATCAAGGAAGGTGAATTGATGAAAAATTGGATTGAAAAAGGCTTGAGAATGGATTTCGAAGTTGCTGAATTCTGAGTTAGGGAACAAGTTTGACAGGGTGATTCTGGCTATCTAAGCTTGAGAAAATGAATGGGGGATGATCCTCTATTTATAGGGAATCAAATGGAATGTCCAAGCGTGTGAAATGATGAAGTTTGGAGGGAAATCATGTGAAGTTGCAAACAAGAAAAGTGTGACTTCCAATTTGATCAAAACTCATCCAAAACGCGTGTTTTGTTGTGCTAATCAATTCTGAACTTCATTAAACATGTTTAGAGGCATAAACACGTGGAAAACTTGTGATTAGAAGCCAAAACAAAGACTTCAAATTCCGACTTATGGGAAAACTTCAGTTCCAAGTTACCAAGTTCAATCCAATGGCATTCTCAGCTCAAGGGGTCTTAAGGCATGATTCTTGATGCTTTAGAAAGATGAGGTTACAAGATTTACAATGGAAAAAGAATGGAATCAAATGGATGCTTGAGCTGAAAGTTGTGTTGAGTCAAAGGTTGAGAAAAAGGGTTGACTTTCCATACTTAGAAATATTTCAAATTCTTCTTCAAAAGTGACCTATAATGTCTTGCATCCAAACATAGTCTTCTACTTGGAATTTGCTCTTGACCAAAAAAGATGGCATGAAGTAGATCTCTTGAATGACATTTTGGAACTTGAACCATTCAAAATCTCCAAAAATTGAGAGAGTTATGAATTACTGAAGTGGGCAAAAAATCATGAAATGACCTATAATCTTTTGTATCCTTAAGGAAATTTACACCCATCTTCTCACTTTGCACATAAAATAAGGCATAAAGTTCACAACTTCAAGATCATTATGGAAAAATAATGGGCTCAAGGTGATAAAAATTGACCAAGTTATGATCATTTGAAGTCACACATGAAAAATTGGGAATTCATCTGGAGGACTTGTAATCTTTCTTCTTCATCAAGTTTCTTCCACATGAAAACTCCTTGGAACTTTTAAAGTGATTTGTTGATAACCCTTTGAATAGAAGGATGTATTTGGAATCACTCAAAAATACTAAAATATGAGCAAGATATGATTCTTTGAAGTTCAAAACCCTAACTCCTAGATCAAGAAAATGCTTTGAGGAACTTTGACAATTTTGAACAAACTTCTTGTACCAAAACAAATGCTTTGTAAATATAAGTTGTTGAGGATGATAATGAGAACTCATAGCAACCACAACCACTTTTATATCTTAATAATTGAGAGAAATATGCACTTGTGACCAATGGGAAAAAGACCTTGTCCAACCATGACTATTTTTCAACCAACCCCTTGTACTTTTTGGATCAAATCTTGATAACTTGGAAATGTAGTGAACCAAAATAACTTTTCCATGCCATCCCTTCTAAAACAACTTCAATGGTGAGGTTTGAACTTCTCAAGCTTCATTGACTAGGTCATGGAAATAAACTCATGAACCCATGGATCAACTTGCTAAGCCCCATTGCCTTTACCTGCATTGTTGATAAGTAAGACAAACCAAAATTGCATTTTATTAATTAAAAGGAAATTTAAAACAAAAACATGAATGATTACATAAGAAAAACAAGTAAAGGTGCTTGATGATTCCTCAAAGAGCAAAGCTAAAGATAGAAAGGAGAGCTAAAAGCCCTAATGTGATCTTGTTGTGATTGAATCAATATGGTATGGTAAAGGGATCTTAGGGGCAAAAATTGGGGTACAACACTTGATGTTATGTATTTTTCTTGTTAGATATTTTAGAATCCATTAGGGAAAAATTGCTAGTCTAATATTTATGATTAAACATTATTAATACTATATTTTTTATATTATTATGAAAAAATTAATTTCCGTAAATAAGTTATTTTTTCAAATATTTTTGCATTTTTTATCTACCCGATCAATTCAATCCAAACCAACTCGTTATTTCTCGGTTTGGTTAGGTTCGATTTAGGCTTTATCATAGAAATTTACAAATCTAATCCAAACCAATCCATATAATTTTAATTGGTTTGAGTATCAAGTTCTCTTAAAAATGAATCAAAATGACTCACGAACACCCCTAGTCTGGTTGCCATGACTCAAGACTAGCGTTTATTAGATATATAGAGTTAGTTAGGTTGATATTTGGGAATATAGAAAAGTTAGTTAGGATATCTAACTAACTTCATCTCTAAGTAACTAACTTGTGGTTGCATGCATGAGATGTATATATAGTATGTGCATGCTTTGTATTCAAGTAATGAATTGTAATCAAATATCAAGGAGACCTTAGTTCTCTCTCTCTCTCTCTCTCTCTCTCTCTCTCTCT